TGACATACATCCCTTGAAATGTTGAAGGACAAATGTACCTAATGCACAGAAATCCTCCTATCACATGTTTTTTGGAATGCTGTCATCACTTTAGTAGGTTAGACTATTCATGCTCAGGTGCTGATGTGTTAAGCCTTTTGTGCAGCTAAAGGAGAAAATTCACATCTTACTAACAATGAAATAAAGTCAAAAATATTATTAATACCCCTTGAACTTTTTCAGACCTTATTTTATTAGAACAAAACATGCCAATGCAAGAGGGTTATGGATAAGATGTTGATACTTTTGGAAGGTGCTGTATAACACTAAGCAGGAAATCTTAACCTGCAGGAAGAAACAAAAAAAGCTTGAACAGGATGTTACACAGTTAAAGGTTTTAACGAGTCAGCAAATTACATAGCAAATTTTTATTGCTTGTAAAATCTATGAAAGTGGATACCAACAAATTCAGTCACTGCTAATGTGATTACTTGTACTCTTCTCATCCTGTGTTATTTGACTATGAGCATGTCTATTCCTCTCTTTCTTGTTCATTGTTGTCATCATGACATCGTGGTTTGACCATGATAATTTAAGAAAGATACTTGTCTTTACAGACGCCAAAGAGCATGTCACTGAGGATGCAGAGCTGGCCAAAGCCATCATGTCCCGGCAATTCCACCCGTCTGCCATCGGTCCTGAGACATGGGAGGGATACATCTTCTCTGATCAGCAGATACGGATCAAAGAATCCACAGACATCTATGGAGCCATACTCTGGCCCTCGGTGAGATCTTACCCTCAGTACAGTAACACTGGATAAGAAACAAAATATTTAGTTAATCTAAAAGAAGGGTTCACATATTCATCTGTAATATTTATCTCTGGGAAAAGAAACCAATTTATTACTCACCACCCAAAAAAAAAAGACTTTTTTTTAGCAAAATGAAGGATGTCAACACAAATGTGTATTCTGAGGAAAATGTGTTTTGGTTTCCAAATAACTGCATTTTAGACTAATGTGTCCAAAAATATATATTAAAAAATCCAGGACTTCATTTTTATTTTATCTGTAAAACGTCATCTTGCCTTAATATTTTTCTTAAAGAGCAAAAGTTTTGTACTTCCTCACCTTCCATAGAAGCTATAAAGTTAAAAGTCACGAAAGTCTCTGAAATATTGACAAGAGTCTTTCTGTTCAGTCTCACCATGTTTTCCCACTTCAGTAGTCAGGAACACGCTGAATGTCACCAAACTAAACGTTTGAGGTTTAAACATGCAGACTTATTCTTGCTGATGACTCCTCATATTAAATCGAAATGTATTCTCCTCCACCAGGCCATGGTGCTGTGCCATTTCCTGGAGACCAACCAAGACAAATACAACCTGGCCCATAAGAATGTGATTGAACTGGGAGCTGGAACTGGGCTTGTCACCATTGTTTCCAGTCTGTTAGGTACTCCAACAAAAATCTGATCATTTGCATGGATGTGATCGTGCTTTCAATTGATCTTGTAATTACTTTCATTGTGTCTCAGGTGCTAAAGTAACATCCACAGATCTGCCAGATGTGCTGGGGAACCTCCAGTACAATGTTACACGCAACACCAAGGGCAGATGCAAATACATCCCTCTGGTACAATTTGTTTTTGACACAGTTATAACACTGTTAAATTACCTCATGCGAGTTTAATTTACAACTTGAGAAAATAAAAGCAGATGTAAAATGAAACTCAGTCTATTTAGGAATCTTTCAAATCATTCAGATATTTTAGTGCAAATAAAATAAATCTTTAAAGCATTGCAACAAATACATTTTTGGCTATCGATTGTTTAACAGGTTTAATGACTCTCTCCAGGTCATGGAGCTCATCTGGGGTCAGAACGTGGCTGAGCGTTTTCCTCGTGCTACGCATCGTTTTGACTACATTCTGGCAGCTGACGTGGTGTATGCGCATCCTTACCTGAATGAGCTCATGGAGACCTTCGACTACCTCTGTCAGGACGGCACTCAGATACTGTGGGCCATGCGTTTCCGGCTGGACCCGGAGAACAGCTTTGTGGAGCGCTTTCAGCAGCGTTTCCACCTTGAGGAGCTGTATGACCTGCCCAGTCTGAGTATAAAACTGTACCGAGCCTGGAGGAAGGACAGCGGGGCCAAGGACCAAACGGAGGCCGCGTGAGATGAAGAACTCATGGAGCACTGAATACTTACTATGAATCTGGGGCTCAAAAATCATATTAAACGTCAGCAACAGCAATTGTTTGTGCGTTTGCAGGCCTACCAAAAAAAAAGAAAAGACGGACATCTGCAATTAACTGTTTACAATGTTCTCAGCAGATAGGTCAAGCTGCTTTATTTAATTTGGAAATCAAAGGGTATAAATATGTAAATAACTACTTTCTCAAATATATTCTGCGACTTTGTATGTTGTTCTGTGTAATTTGTGAAGAGATTCATCCTAGTGGGGTTAAGTTTGGCGTCTCTGTGTCGCCCGTTTCACTACAAATTCACTGCATCGTCAATGCACAAATTCAACAAGCTGGTTTGTTCTATGACTGGTCAATCATCTAGTTAATTTATTCAACGGTTGCTGGTTGCTGCTGCAATACCCAAGTGCTTACAGTCAAACTGATGGACAGAGGTTCTACTTCAGGACTTTCTGGTAAATACTAGAACTCATGGTTCCATTCATTCATTTTCTGAGATTCTTCTGGGTTTCTGAAGCAGCAAAGCAACCCCAGGTCATCACTCTATTTTTTGTTCTGGAATGCAGGATTAGTTTTGTAACAAGTAGAGCAGTTTTTAAAAAGTTCTCCTCTTGTCTTTTTAGTTTAACATGTATTTTTTACAAAATTTTATTTTATCAAGATTGAACTGGTAGTCCTGTTGCTTGAGCTGAACAGTGACGCAGTTAGAAGTACTATTGCATTACAGCAGGAAGGTTCTGGCTTGAAACACAGCCTGGAGTTTGCATGTTCTCCCTAAGAGTGCACAGGTTCTCCCCAGCTTCTCTAGTTTCCTCCCACAGTCCAAAAACATCACTGTTAGGCTCTGTCTAAGGTTTATTATCCCTAGATGTGTGTGTGTTATGTGTGCATGTGTGTGTGTGTGTGGGTGTGTGTGTGTGTGTGTGTGTGTGTGTGGGTGTGTGTGTGTGTGTGTGTGTGTGTGTGTGTGTGTGTGTGTGTGTGTACATGGCTGTTTTTTCTGTGTTGGACTGGTGGCATGTCCAGCCTCTTGCCCCATGACCACCAGAGATATGAACGGAGACAGTGATGTGTAAAAACACAACTTTGACAAAACACATGAATTATTTTGAGATCAAGTGTTATTCCTGAAGTTATTTTTGAGTTTTTCTATTAGTCGATTAAAGTGTTAAAGGTCATAGTTTAGCAGCTCAACACTTTTAAGAGGTCAAATTATTATGCTTTTATTTTGCTCTAAGTATGGTACTTCAGTAACTTGAACACCAACGCTCTGCCCAATTTCTTCCACATTTTGGAAACTCACCAGTTAGTTTATTATATTGGGAAGAGCAAGTTTGAGTCAGCCTCTATAAATGTAACCGCTTAAATCTGATACGTTAATGATTCCAAATCCTCCAAGGTTTTCGGGGTCTCTTTCTGTTCCGGTGGATGTGTGTCTCTGCAACGTCAGGAGTGTTGAAGAGCTGGATTAAAGGGCATCTAAGCAGGTGGACAGTAAATACCTCCGTCTTTGTAAAGACAAATAAATACCCAACAGCTGAAGCCTGCATGTGGCCTCAGAGGAATATCTCTTCACTTCATCTCTCTCTCTTCACAGCCTGTTAATCCTAAAAATCCTCTCCCAGCGACACAACACTGGAATTCTGCTTGTCATCATGCTAAATAAAACTTCTAATGTTTTATCAAACTTAGCCTGCAAAACAAAATTAGCCACTTCACAACATCAACAACACAACAACCAAAATCCAGGATCAAAAAAAAGATTTATCTTACAATTTATGATCCTAGCACATGACGCGGTGAGGTGTGTCTGATGTTGTCAATATTAGAGCCCCCTTATTTTCTCCAGAGCTTGATACGTGCAGGATGCAGTCCAGCCTGATCCTGTTACCCTCTACCTCTGCTGAAGCAATTGAGGCCATTGCAGGAAAAGCAAGCAAGAGGCATGAAGACGTCCCAGACGACGTGACTAATTTTAAATAGACTATTTCTTTGAACCGCTGACCCACCCGTGTGTCAGGGCATCGTTGAAAAAATAAATGTTTATTACTGACAGAGATTAAAGTTACTCTGCACTTTTTTTTTTGATATGGGAAATGTTTCTTACTTTAAAAAAAAACAACAACATAAAAATGAATTGCTTTTTCTGTCACAAGTAACAGTTTTAAATTACGCTTTGAAGGTGTCGGTTTTCCATGAAGGACGAGTTCATGCGATTGTCATCATAGCACAATAACGCAGGTAACGTCTTCTATCATGACATACTGGGTGTATCTCAGTCTCTGCTTCTGGGTGTCAAATGGAGTCAACAGGTCAGTGACGACATCCACTCTCTGCCAAGATGCTATCATGTCAAACACAAATCATATCCTGGGTTGGTTTTCTGCACAGTGAAAACCTGTGCTGTGTCTTTCTGTGTTTTTCTATTAGACAGAGTCAACCGATTAAAACTGTTGCACCACCATAATTTATTCGGACTGTTCTGAACCTTAAAAACCGGCATTTTTTTTGTAGATGTAGCAATCCTCCTTTTTTTAAATCCGGTTACTTTAAGCAGAGAACCGCTGTCTGGTTCTCTGCAGATGGACCAGCAGACGCGTCCTGAAGCAAAGACTCAGCTTTCTTGACCTGCCCTTCTTCCTATTCGCTCCTCTTCCATCTCCTCTTTGTTTGTGCATTTGAAACTTTGTGCCCTCTGCTCCTCCACGAGGTTTATTCCTAATGAGCGCAGCTCTAAAAATATCCTTCTGCCCTTGTAATGATGATGGGAGTGTCCTGTTGGATGCTGAGCCTCTATAACATCCCAGTCGATCGTATCCAGACACAGTTGAGGTGCTCGTTCATGAAAAGTAAAGCAGGATTGGGTCACAACTAACAGGTAGGAAACCAGAATAAAACATGTTCTTATTTTTAAAAGAGCAGTGATTATAAATACAGCTTAGCTCAAGAAAAGAGAAACTAATTTAACAGTTTTAATCATAGTTATGTTTACTCTCAAAATAAGTACAAATTCAAATGAAATAAAAACTACCTTCTTTCTAACAACACAAAGGATTTTATATGGAAACGTCGTGTTCACCATTTGTGGAAGAAACAAGCTTCACCAGAACAGAGGATGAAGATGAGGCTGAAGAAAATGAAGAGGAGGATAAAGGTAACTGCAACCAATGTGGTCTCTGTGTTTGACTCACTCCACATTAGATCTGAAACTATCTCACTTTTAACTTCTTTCTTTATTTATTTATTTTAAATGATGCACAAACAGAGGAATCAGCTGACAGGAAGCAACGACTGGCAGCCTGGGCTCCGTCTTTTTACTGCAGAATGGGCAAAGAGGTGTACAGCTACGCTGGCCATGAGATTGTTATCGAAGAGGGTCTTGACTCATATGCAGGCATGATATGGCCTGGGGTGAGTGTGCTGGTGCTGGTTCTGAGGTTTTATTTTTTTTTATAAAACCTGACCTACTGTGGAGAAGTACAGGCCAGCCATGCTTCCCTTTCGAAACACCACAGAGAGTTAAAGGGATCTGACAGGTTCAGCTTTTTTTCCACTTAATGTTCATTGTAGAGCCAGTTAGGGTTATCCACTCTGCACCGTGGCGTTCCAAAATGTTCAGAAATGTTTTATTGAAAAAGCCGTGAGTACCTCGTCAATTCTCAGGATCCCAGTGTAGATTTTTGTCTTTAACACAGAAAAAGAAAAATCTACAATTTATACTTCCTTTTCTACATTAAGTTTGAGGACTATAATGTCATGTTTGGCAGTAACGTACTTGCAGAAGGAAGTTATTTATGCTATAATGGACATTTGGGTGCTTGCCACATTACATGTTTTACTTTGCACACTGACAGTGGGAATATTGCTGTTTCTCCCAGGCTTTGGCTCTCTGTCGCTATCTTGAAACTCACCGTGACCAACTGAATCTCATGGACAAACCCATCCTGGAGATTGGAGCAGGAACTGGTCTTGTGTCTGTGGTGGCGACACTTCTCGGTACGAGTGAACGTGAGTCAGTCTGCTTTGACTGAAAATGAACACATGCGATTGCTTTGACGGGTCTGTTTTGTCAGGTGGTTGGGTCACAGCGACAGACCTTCCAGAGGTTCTGAGCAACACGAGAGCCAACCTGTGCAGGAACACCAGGGGCCTCTGCAGACACACACCCCAGGTGGCACCTCTGCCCTGGGGCTACAACCTGGAGAGCACCTACCCTTCGACCGTCTACAAGTACCACTACGTCCTGGCAGCCGACGTGGTTTACCATCATGACTTCCTGGATGAGCTCTTGGTCACCATGAAGCATTTCTGCAAACCAGGAACAACATTGATCTGGGCCAACAAGGTCCGATTTGAGTCCGACCTGGTGTTCACGGAGAACTTTAAGAAAGCCTTCCACACAAGTCTGCTGGTCGAAGAAGGAGAGATGAAGATCTTCATGGCAACGAGTAGGGAAGGAGATGATGAAGTAGATCGGGGGCTGAAAATCCAAGATCTGTTGGGAGAAGAGGATGGAAAGACTGTGGAGGAAGAAAGCAACAAAGACAACGGTGAAGGCAAACCTTCATGTGCCTGTAAAGAGGTGAGAGGTGATACACTGGACAATTACAATGAGGAGGAAGAAGACAATAAGTTTGAAAGTGATGTGGAGGAAGAGGAAATTGTGACCTCCAAAAATGTTGAGCACAATGAGATTGTTGCAAGTAATGACAACATTTCTGGTAAGTTATCTTCACACACAAATACGTTAAGTACCAAAGGATGTGCCAGCACTGTTTGCATATTACAGATGTGCAACAAGCCCAACTTTAGCCTGAAAAAAGAAAGTCAATCACAGGAATAATTTATTCCATACAAAACAGGTCTGGATCTTGAGTTAGGTCTCGGTTGTGTTTAAAATGCTGTTCTTCTCTAGACTGGTGTGTTAGTTTGCCAGCAGACTATAAAATGAAACAAACAGCCTTAATGAGAATGTCAGGAGTGCTGCAAACTAAATCTGAGATTCAAGAGAAGGCCAAAACATAGCAAAGCCAAGAGTATAACTGGCTGTCCTGAGATAGCACAGAGGGTTGGGTTGCTGGGCCTGCTGGTGTAGAGTATCTCAAGGAAGAGATGGAGACTGTTTTTTAATGGCAATGAGCTTATTTAGTCAAAAACAATGTCATATTATGGGCATTTATATGTTGCAATTGCCCATATCAAAATCTTAAATGTTTTCATACTCTGCAGTTAAGCCTTATGTTTTGTTTCATGCTTTCTGAGCTACACCACGTGTCTGTTGGTCCTTGCAGAACAGGAGTGTTCGGACCAGACGGATGTAAAGCAGAAATGGGTTCCAAACATCATTTGCCACGTTAACAAAGACATCTACCATTACGTAGGGAAGGACATTGTCATTTATGAATCCATAGATTCATTTGGAGCAATGATGTGGCCAGCTGTGAGTGTTTCTGATAACTGTTTGCTACAATAAAAAATAAATAAATAAATCACATCACCTTTAGCATAATGTGACATCAGCAGTGTTTTTTTTTTTTTTTTCAATTTGCAGGCATTGGCTTTGTGCTCCTTTCTTGACAACAACAGGGACACAGTGGACCTGCGAGGGAAGAGGGTGCTGGAACTGGGAGCAGGAACAGGATTGGTAGCCATTGTGGCCAGTCTACTGGGTGAGCAGTCACTAGACTCATCATGGTGTTAAACATAAACAGGACACAATGAACAGAATCATAATATTTTACAAATGACATTCCTTTCTTTCTGTATCAACAGGAGCATCAGTCACAGCCACAGATCTTCCAGAGATATTAGGGAACCTTCAAGCCAACTTAATGAGGAACACCAGGGGCCTCTGCAGACACACACCCCAGGTGGCACCTCTGCCCTGGGGCTACGACCTGGAGAGCACCTACCCTTCGTCCGTCTACAAGTACGACTACGTCCTGGCAGCCGACGTGGTTTACCATCATGACTTCCTGGATGAGCTCTTGGTCACCATGAAGCATTTCTGCAAACCAGGAACAACATTGATCTGGGCCAACAAGGTCCGATTTGAGTCCGACCTGGTGTTCACGGAGAACTTTAAGAAAGCCTTCCACACAAGTCTGCTGATCGAAGAAGGAGAGATGAAGATCTTCATGGCAACGAGTAGGGAAGGAGATGAAGGTGACCGGACCAGACTGGGTAGGCCTACAGGATGCAGGATCAAGGCCTAATTTAAAGGACTTAATGTTGAACTATTTTTTGTGATTTTTTTCCCCCCCAAATGTTATCAGATACCCACAAACTTTCTTAAAGGTTGTCTGACATGCAAGATCAGTTTAAAAATGTTTTGCTCGAGACTCAGTATGGAAGACATGTTTAGGTTATTTACCTGAGAAACGTTTAAATGTCAGTTCAGTATCAAAATATTTATAATAGTGGTCTTGGCAAGCTTCACTTTGGCTGGTCTAACTTCAATCAAGAAAAATTGGGACAAGTAATTAACTGTTTCTGGGGTGATTTTGGCTCACTCTCACAATACACAACTTTTTTAATACTTCTGCTGTTTTGGTTCTGCCAAGGCATTTCAAGCCAATTGAAGTCTAGGCTTTGTATATGCCACTGCAACAACTGGAGCATATGCTTCTCTGCTGGTACAAGATGTTTGTAATGATATGCTGCACTGGGTTTTTACCAAACAAGGTCTACTGTGGTCTCATCTGTCCAATGGATAGGCCTTGTGGTACGAGACGCAACTTTACAAACACAACTTGTTGTAATTTCTTTAAAGCAGAAGTTGTTTTACTAGAAACCAACATTTGAGTTCATCCTGAAGTGAATTTGCTGGGATGTCTTAAATGATTTCCACTTGTGAATTACTGAATTGATTGGAAATAGCCTTAAAATCTAGACTGATGCACATCGACAGATGTAGCTTTCATGGTGACGTTGTGACACACATCTGTGTCCTCCAAACAACCAGACCTTCTGGTCTTATAGGAGGTGGACAGACTTGCTGAGTATCAGATAAATAGGAGGATATACTTTCCCTTTTCCGGCTAAATCTTATTGAAGATGATATGGTCTAGTTGCAACAATGAAGTTCATTGTATTGGGGAAACCCATTTTAGAAATCCATGTCCATTTGGTGGTTCAATGCCTTTTTGTTTAACAAACTACTTTTAATGGATCAAGAAATGTGGACAATGTGGATTCTTCTCGTCTTCTGTATTTTTCCACACTCGTAATACAGAGAAGTGACATGTGAACCCGTTTTAAATATTTTTATTCAGTGAACTTTCTTGTTTGTGACTTTTCTTGTGAGCACAAAATAGTTTAACAGTGGCTCAGGTCTTTTCCCACATGATCCAGAAAGGATATAAAATGATATAGAGAATACAGCTTTAACTCATAACATTCTGTGATGAAATAAGATTTTTATGGCTATAAATATAAACAACATCCACAGCATCCATAGCAAGCATTCGTGAAGTTCTTATGAGCACCAGCGGCGCAAACTGCAGTAGATATGTGTGGTGCCAGAGGTCGGAGGTGAAGTCTTGTGGTGAAAACTTAAGGCCATTTTTGGAGAGACTGTAATTGGCAACGCATGCTGCTGTGCACAGCATATGTTCAAACAGGAAACGCAATGGAGAGGGAAATTAATGAAGAGGCTAACTCTCACAAAGGATTCCTTCCAAGAGCTTGATGTGGTCTGTGCTGCGAATAATGCAGAAAGTGAAGCCGTTTCAAGCTAAACAGAAACGCAAGAATCTCGCGCCGTTGATTCACCATCAGACTCCAGAAGACAAGACGCCCTAAAGCAGATAGTTTACATTCTTAGGCATCAGCTTTCCAGCCAGAGAGCTAAAAACAATGAAAGATAAAACCAAAGCCTTTATTTATACTACTAGTTTATAAAAAAAAAAAATTTTGAAATTATTTTCCCCCCCCCATCTAATAAATATTTTTTCTTTCATTTAACATACTGATATTGAATCCAGCTTAACAAGACAAATTTTCTTTGGTTACACAAAGAAAAGGGGGAAAAAAGTTAACACTTCTGCTTTTAGGACTATAAAGCAAAGAGGATCATCAACATGAAAATTAAATTGAATCACATAGCCCTCATCTGTTAACTTCAGGTGAGACATTTCCAGAAGAACCAAACCAGTGTTAAGTTCAGACAAATCAAAAACATCTGTATATTCTCTGCTTTTAAAATAATTTCTTCTAACTGTTAAGGGTCAAAGAGTAAATATTTTATACATTTTAGGCTTTCAATATCTCTTTCAACGTATGAAGGAAAGTGCAACAGTTTTTTTGAAGCTTTGAAGGCAATTGAATCAAATCTGAAGTTGAAAGCATCAAAACTCTCAAGTCGCAATTGTCAAAAGTGAGCATTTCTAATGCGAAGTATATTATGGGAGACAATTATTCAAAATAGGCTGAAACTACTGGTGTGGTCCTTTTGAATAGCAAGGATCCCATTGAGAAGAATGCTGTCTCACTTGTGCAGGGAGAAATGTTCACGTGGACAACACAGGTTCACAAATACACGCAAAATTCTTCAAACACACACACACACACACACTCATCAACCACTGACATTTCTCCAAAGCATAATTCACAGGGAGAGGGGGAAAAAAATATGTCAAGTTGAAAGAAACTAAAATCCGATTCCTCATCAAAACTAACTTTTCATACACCTTAGAATACATGCATATATGCAAAATACATCGATTAAGATAGATTCTGTTATATCCCTATTGCATCTTTATATTTTCATGGTACGAGTGTATTTACATTACTTTATGACACTGTGTACACGTGCAGCATTCTGAATGCTGCGGAGTGAAAATTTGATTGTGTAACCTGTTCCTAACATCCCACCGCTGCCCAAAAACCGCATCATTCTGAGAATGAGGTCCGGTGAAAATGGAGGCTAAATGTGGCGCTCGGGAAGTGTCAAGCCTGCACAGGGTGCGGGGATGATTCATGCGGTTTGACTCAGAGAAGCTGATGAGTGAAACGACTGTGAGGGCGGACGGATGCTACAAACTCTGCAGCTTCCCCTGCACAAAACTCTGCCACCGTTCATTAAGCTCCATCTTGAAAGGTAAGGTACGTTGAAGAAAGGCACCGTGACATTTTTTGTGTTCAAAGACAGATAGGACCGACTTGTCAACTCAGGATTGTTGGAGAGCTATTTAAGAAAAGAAAAAAAATGGGCTTGTGATCAGTCCAATCCCTGCTTTTCATTTGGGATCATCAGGAGAGTTTCTGCAGCAGCAAGTCTGACTTTCCTCTTATCGAAGTAATTTAACGGACTTTTACAGTTTTCTGCTCTGATTTCCGATGCATCCCTGGAGCCCACAATGCCGGTTTTTACGGTATTTACACATGAAGAGAGGTTTTAAATGCAATGAGTTAAGAACGCTGGGGAGGAAGGGATATTTAAGCCTCTGAATTTGTAGCTGACACAGGGAAAACAAAACACAGGACAGATTACAGTTCTCCATATTTTTCTGTTGGAGCGGATTCCAAATTTCTGATTTGACTGGTTTTACAACCCATCGCCTCACAAAATTTGGCATGCATGATAATATTGACGCTCTGGGTCAGCTCCTAGTTTGACGTCTTAAAAAGAAAAAGTCTCAGGAGGCAGCTGGTTGGTCAGATGCATAGACCATATGACCCTGAGGGACACGTCCTCAAATTCGTCCTGTCATGGACTTTTGGAGGTCATGCCGTCCCATGCATGTGCCTGTTTGTGCTTAGAACGGTAAATAATCTGCGGGGTACATGACGGGGAGCCAGTTCTCACTGAAGGCAGTGCAGTGCATCCAGCCGAGGTGACGCATGAGCTGCAAAACAAAACCCAGGAGATGATTTTATTTTATTTTATTTTTTTTTTTTACACCAACAGACACCGACAGAAAACCTGTTTTTTCAACATAAGCATCGATCGCTGATACTCTCATACCTGGATGCAGTTCTTCATGTTCTCCTTGCTGGGCTTCTCCTCAACCATTTTGGAGGCGTATTTTAGGGCTCGGCCGTACATCTTGTTTGCCAGGGCGTGTTTGTATGAAAACGTCAAAACCTTAAAAAAACAAACAAACAAACAAAAAGAAAAACACAAACAAAGAGTGTTAGATAAAATGTTTTATGAACTAGCTTCAAGCTCCAGTTCAATCAACAAAATAATTTTGGATCAGCTTTCAGAATGTTTGGTTTTTCTTTCACTGTTGAGCAAGTGACAAGTTCATCACAAAAAAGAAAATTAGTAGGGAGAGGCGTGAATCATTTCTGAATTTACCTACATATCCATCAACATCTTTCTGTTGATAGATGTTGATGAAATGTCAAATGTCTGTTGACATTTCTGTATGTCAACAGAAAATTATATACTTATCAAAGCACTGATTTACTTTGAGTTTAACAAATCAGTGACTATTAAACTTTCCCAAAAATGACACATAAAATAGCAGTAATGTGTCTAAATTACAAAAATCTCACCTTGATTGCTGTATTTTTGAAGCACGATAGTGCATCAACCTAACATGATGGTTTTAAGATTAATCCAATAGTTCATCTTTATAAATTGATCAAATGAAGATGTATTCAGTCTTCCCGTTAGGCACAGTGGGCAGTGGATTGTTAGGGTCGGGTAGTTTCCTGAATATTCTCCCTGCTTTTCATAACCTTATTTGAGTTCTGCATTACATTGTAGAACAACAACTGCTTTTCAGCTGGTTGCCACGGCATCTGTTTTGTCCTCTTGCCCCAAATTCACACATAAAAGTCAAGAAAAAGAATACATAATTTGCCCCAAACAACCCGTTTGATTTATTTAAAATTCTCACCTTTGAGTCAGTTAGCTCCGCCCACTTCTGCACCTCCCAGAATGTGTCCATCAGGGCATTTAAAGTGTTGTCCAGGGGGTCATCAGAGCTGCTGGCCAGCTGCTCCCCGACCTCCTCCTCTCCTGCTGCAGCTTGCTCTGTAGCAACGGCTCCAGCGCCGCTCTGCAGCGTGGACGGCACCAGGAGCTGGTCGGCCAAAGCGCAGCCTTTTCTACACAGGGCGTCCAGAAGAGACGACTTCTGCTTCTCCATGTCACTGAAAAACAAAATGTTTTATAGATGAGGCGGGTTCAGACTGCCCCATCAATCCAGCCTTTGTCAAAAACCTGTGTGAAAGTGATGCCTACGTTTTGATGGAGGCGGCGTCTGGCCGAGGGTCTGTCTTCATGGTGAAATACACAGCCAGCGCCGTTTGGTCGATGTGGGACATGACGACCTCTGCTGCAGACACCACCTCTCTGAGGCGCTTCACTCGTTCCTTCACAGAAACAGGGAGAGACTCCGTACGAGGATTCTGCACAGCTTTGATGCAACTATCTACCAAAACCGTCTCCTGTCGCCGTTTACCTTCTCTGAGTCCAGCTGATGGAGTCTTTGCACGTGAAGTGGAAGGTAATCCGAGTAGTTTTCCCTCAGCTCATCGTAGATGGAGCTAGAGTCCAACCTGAAGAGCCAAAAACGACAGATAAATTACAGAGAAATAAAGAGGCCATGTGGTATGAAACCAGAGAGAAACGTAGCTTACTTTGTCATCCACTGAATCTTTAGATCCCTCATAGCTTCTGCAAACTCTTCCTTCAAATCCTTCTCTTTGTCTCCATCCTTGTCCTTCTCCTTCCCACCGTTCTTCGATTTGTTTGGGGCGGGGATTAGATGGTAGATGACTGGAACGATGTCCTACACCAAGACACAAACAAACGAAGTCTGATTGTATGATAGAATACATCTCTTCAACTTCTCAAATACTCTCTCTTGCTGCCAATGTCATGTCCTCAAGTAGTCTTTGCTCCATAGATCACTGAAGTGAAAATGGCTTTTAAATTACCCAGTAGTGAAGGTTTAAGGTAGTACTATCAATACTTTACAGACCACCAGAAAACCTAGTAAGTAGTTCATAAAAACAGCTTTAACACTTGTGTATATTTCCTAACACATTAACATGCTTTGACATGATAGATGAAGATGTTTTACAGAAAATAAGTCATTTCCCAAAGTAAGGAGAGCAGCAGGCGCTCTGTGGTTCAGTGCTTCTAACTTGTCCAGTACCTTTTTAAATTTTCCTTGTCGTTTTGCAGAGGCCTGCCCCTGGTGGTCAAAATAACACACAGTAAGGAACAGGTAACACAAACACCAACCAAAAAGGATGTTTTCATTCGTCTTTCATCCTCAACCAGAGACCCGGGGTCTCATTGCTAAAGATATAACTCA